TCTTTAAGCCTTCACTTGCATGCTCTTAATTGCCTCACTCTGAGGTTATTTTCTCGCCTTGGCTGTGTTTTGTTCTGTTTAGCGGCTACAGCAGAAGCCTGGAAGCCAATTAGCCAGTTTTCATTTCACTGTAAGACGATGCCGCTTTGAAGCCTTTTCCCTCCTAATGATAATGTCCCAGGAATGAATCATAGAGAAGCCAACGTGTGAGAAACCCCTCGTCGGGATGTAAAGAAGTCAGTCGAGCAGTACTTGAGGGACTCTGAAGTGTGAACTGGCCTCTGACCAGGAGAGAGAAAAGACAGGGAGGGAAGAAAACAATGCTGGGCAGCGGGGAGACTCCCACAACACGGAGGTGCTAAACTGTCAGCAGCCGTGTGAGAATGATGTGATCAAAGGCTCCTGAAGGAAGAGCCTGGAGAGCAGCAGAAGCTGATGTGTGAAGTCCGAGACGAGCCCTGTAAGCGGTCTTCACACATGCACCCCTGGAAACTTATAGAAGAAGTCAGGGGAGAGTTTTGTGCATTCGAGAAATTCACAAATGCACATAAGACACGAGATGCAAACTCAAGATGAGCTGTATGTGTCATGTGGTCTTTTAGTCTTTATACTTGACTTTATGACTTGGTCTCCCTACTGGCTTTATAAGTCTGTGAAAATTACACAATTCAGGCTTCCTTATTTATTAATGGTTATCCATGACAGTTAAAACTTAAAGAGCCAAACATCTAAAGTCAGATTTGGTGTTGAGTGGTAGTCGTGGCTAAATCAAAAAATTAAATAATTTTTCCTGCAGTTGAAGGCCATTGTGAGAATGAAGGACGCCTGCCATCGCTTCTCTCACCTCGCCTCACACTAGGCTTTTCTTTTTCATGATTTATTGAAATGAATGTTTGATGCCTCTGCATATTTTCTCATGCTGAAAAGCAAAATGAATTTCTGGCACAACTTCACCAGCTAACAAGGTGCGCGAAGAGTGAACGGCTTTGAAGAGGTCGAAAAGCTCCAGCGACACTTTGTAGTGCGCAGATCAACTTTATTGACAGATTAGATTGACGCGTTTCAGCTTGTGGCCTTCACCAGGGTCATAGCTGAAAAGCATCAGATGTATGAAAAACTCTGATTTAGCTGCTGTTGCCAAAATGTTTGGATCGGTTGAAGGGCTGCTGAATTACGATCTGTTTTTTTTTCCACAATTCAATATCCATTCAGAAAATCCTGAAATCGTTTATTTCCTTAGAAATGAAACCCATCTCCTGTGGGTGTTGCAACACTTTGATTCATGTTGTACAGATGCCTCGCTTCATAAACAACATCTGGAAAGAGATAATGCTCACATTATTATTTAACTCATATCAGAAGGTACTGTACTGAATTGTCTGGTGTTTCTGTCATCGATGTGAATTAATGAATTGATTTAAAAATAAAAAATAAAAAAAAGCACTTGATCAATATCGAATCCATTCAGGACACAAAGATTCAAGATCAAATTGAATTGGGAGGTTCTTAGCAATATCCAGCCCTGATTGGTTGTCAAACTGTGAACCTACATGTGATTGGACGTTCAGGGAGACCGCCTGTAGTGGTTTTATTCTCTGGACTTTTTCCAAAATTTTGCCTTGGATCTTCTTGGTCTGATACTCCAGGTTTTTTTTTTTTTTAACCAAGGGTGAACAAAAACCTAAGATGTTTTAAGCATTTTGTTTCATTTGTACATGTGGAAATATTCATTATTTAAGTGACACGTTTTAAGAAAGCCAAAAGAATATGTGTTACATTTATTTTGCATATTTTAATCATACATCAAACCCCGGTTAGATTATTTGACTGGCTCTCTTAACGAACAATCGTTGTTGTCGTTTCATTGTAACCGGCGGATTATTCCTTTCTCGTGCAACATTCAGATTGCCAAGCGATGCACAAGGGAGTCACAGATGCATGCGTTTATTGGCTGTCGTGCTAAAGAAAAGTGCAGTGCGTGTGCCAAGTGTAACCCGTGCTGGAAGACATTGTTGACTTGTCCTCTAATATCTTTATACGATCACGGGATATGATGAATATCTTGTCAGACTTTCTGCTTTTAAAAGAGTTACATAAGCTGTTCCTCTGAACTTTCAAAAGAGCGTCTTCTCAAGTCGTTCATGTCTCTGGATGGATCAGAGTCACATCTCTTAATGTGTCTGAGGGAAAATGTTGCTGCTAAATTCTCCATTGTGCTCACAAGCTAGGTGCTAGCCTTGTCTGTCTTTGGTTTTTGTGCTGAGCAGGATCCTCGTATTAGATTTTTATTTTTTTTTTAGAGCCATTCTCCCCCAAAACATCTGTTAGAATTCTGAATCAAGCTTCGGTAGGAGCGATGCGAGTAATCTTTCTTCATCAAAAACCAAAATAAAGAGCTGAAAGATGCTAAGACTCTCCATATGACACATGCATTTGGCTGCAGATTTATTTAACAAGGTGCATGCCTGAGGTGAGAGAGGGAAGAAGAATGTTCACTTTCTCTCCCAGTGGTGCCAGCAGTCCCAGTTACTTCACCTATATGGAGAAAGAGAGCAGCAGCAGAAAAGAGAGAGAGGGAGGGAGAGAGAGAGAGAGAGAGAGGAGGGAGGGGCTGCGACATGAGAGCAGAGTGGGAGGGGAAAGTTTGCAGGTGTGACAGTGGAAGAGAAGTAGGAGGGAGGGAGGGAGGCGTCAGGCTATCTGGGTGAGAGAGGAGAGTAAGAGGAGGAGGAGGGCTAAAGAAGGAAACAGAAGAGATGAGCAGGCAAGGGCACAGCAGCATAACAGAAGGCTGAGGGTAGAGGGAGAGGAAAGAGCGAGTGGGAGAAAAGGAAAGGAAAGAAAAGAGTGAGTGGGAGACCGAGAGAGGGAGAAAGAAAGAAGGGGGGGGGTAAAGAAAAGCAGGCGAGGGAGAGTGACAGGGACAGAGGCCAGCACAGGAGGAGAAGGAGGCGGAGGCAGAAGAAGAGGTGGAAGAGGGGAGGGGTGGGGTGGGGGGGGTTGGCATGGCAGACAGAGCGAGCGGGGGCAGAGAGAGGGAGATTTTGAATCTGTGAGACAGACAAGAGAGACGGAGCTGGTGAGGTGACACAGGCTGGGAGAGAGGGGAGAGAAAGCAAGGCAGCGTGAGAAGAGGAAAGGAGAGAGAGAGAGAGAGAGAGAAGGAGAGGAGAGGAGAGGAGAGAGGAGCAGCGACAGTGAGAGTTGTTGCACAGAATACGATGATGGGACTGTACTATCCTTCCGTGTTGTCGGTGAGTGTTTATCTTCTCATATCTTTTCATATCCTCCGCTGTGTACGCTGCGTCTCCTCGCTGAGCATCGGGGCTCCACTGTAAGCGAACACAGGCGTCAGAGCGGGAGCAGCACTGTCATCGAGCATGAAATGATAATTAACTACTAACAGATGAGGACTCTACTTGACCCCCTTTACTAGAGTGGCCCAGTCAGGGCAGTTCAGACTCTCATTACGACTCGGGCCGCCAGTACGCTACGCGGGGATACAAACACAGAAAAGACTAGCATAGTAGGCGTAGATGACAGCGAGATAAAGGCTTCGGAGATTGCATCGCCGCAATTATGCTCGGTTGTGGTTGAAACGCACGGGCTGCAGTGTATTGGTGCACGCCGTTGTTGTTGTGGCATCTGTTCTCCTGCCCAGAGCTAAAAAAGCGCACGCAATCCGAAACATCAAGAGCCGCAACTGCAAGAAACTCGGCTCTGCCATGTATTATGCATGCTCAGAAGGAATCCATGTGAACATACAGTACAACATGTCAAGTCTGTCGGGGCGGCATGAAGCTGTTGAAGTGTGCTGCTTCTGCAGTAAAGTCTTGTGAGATCTCAGAGTGGAAACTGTGAAGGATTAGGGGGAGGAGAGGTACGTTTTAAAAAAAAAAAAAAAAAAAAAAAAAGTCTTTCTTCTTTATTGCCTCTGCAGCTGTCTCTGTACATCGCTCCAGCCTGTGAGCGAAAGGGACAGGTGTCCCCAGAACAGTTGTCTCTGTCTTTTTTTTTTTTTTTTTCATTGCTGTCCTCGCTCTCTTTCCCTTCCTCCCTTCTGCCTCTCTTCTATTCAGCTAACAACACCTCCTCACTGTAATTTCTGTGTCACACATTTCACAAACGCACACACACACAAGCTCAGGCACACAGTGGGCCGCAAAGTTGGTGCATGAAGTGTCACGTTTGTATCATTTCATTTGGTGTGAATTAGGCTCTGTGTGTGTGTGTGTGTGTGTTTCTTCCTGCCTTTTGCTTGCGTGTGCTTCTCTTTTCAGCTGTACCTTGGATTCCTGCTCTCTTTACTGTTTGACCTCTTTTCTCCCTCCTCTCGCTCTCCCTGGGGCCCTGGCAGCTGTTATCTCAATGTTTTCCTCCAAGAGCCCCTGGAAGAGGGGGATGGGGTTTGAAAAAAGAGAGCGAGAGAATGAGAGCTGGAGAATAGAAAATTGATTTTTAAGGTGACGGAGCACCCTCTGGCAATTGAGCAGGGAAAGCCCATGGACGAGGAGGTTGAATTCATGCAGACGCGGACAAAAATGAGTGAGATGGAGAGCCACATTCAGATTTGACAATATTGTAGGTCAACTGGAGAGAGCTAGTTTGGCTCTGTGACGCAATTTCAGTCGAGCTGACTTTGCAAGTTACATATGTGTGTGTGTGTGTGTGTGTGTGTGTGTGTGTGTGTGTGTGGAATTATTCATAGTTTCCTTATGAAAGAGGGGAATTTATTTTCTGTCTTCTGGTGCTACTCTATGCTAATACTTGTATCCCTTGCTGCATGAAAGTTGAAGAAGCATATCAGGTGCAAAAGACTAAAATATTTTCTCAAGCCCCACCTTAACTTGTGCCCTTAGGCTAGGGAGAGACGCCTACCTACTGCAAAACTACACACACACACACACACACACACACTGCAAAGCTTGCGTAAAACCCAAAACAGGCAGCGAGGTTTCACCAGCCTACTCCGACTCCCACCCTTTTCCCAAATCTTGTTATTGATTCTTCGCTGGGTTAACAATGCTGGTCGTTAAATGATCCCAATGAGACGTGTTGCCGTGGCAACTTGCATGAGTCATTCATTTTGTGCAGATTTGTTAGATGGTTCCGAGGCGCGAGGTAGACACCTTTTGCACTGCGCCTCTGAAAAGAGCGCGTGTTATGAAATGACCCAAAGCTCAGGTTGCATTAACAATTATGCCTCTTTAGAAGCTATTTGCATCTCTAATGAGTCACTGCGGGACATCTGCGTGGCCTTTTTTTTTGTTGCAAAGAACCTGCCTTTGAAATAGATAGGGGGCTGCCCTCGCTGACTGTGCGCGGTGCGGTTTTCGGTGACAACATGCTGCTGTAGCTGGCTTGTGTACATTTTTGAAGCCGCACGCTGGACAGCAGGACGAGTGTTTGCTTTATTACCTGAGCTCCAAACAAGACTAACTCGTTCACGGCCATACTGAATACTCGAGGAGGCGTGTCCATGCTGGGTAAACACATGTCTGTTTGAGAGTTTGTGTGTTCACCTGCACATGTGTTTGTCCTGCATGGAGTGTGTTTAATGAGGAATACATGTGGACAATACTGTCATCGAGCTTTTTGTTTTGGAGTGTTTACCTTTAATATAAATGCGGCAGAGCAGCGGGGTGGACTTTTGTCACAGCGAGGGGAGAGATGACAGGGGGAAGCCAGTGTTCATGTTTGTATCTCTGCACGGCATGCATGATGAAGAGGAGCCTCCGAGAAATACCGTGTGAGGAAGAGGAACAATACGGAGACCCTACAAGGAAAAGGATGGTGGTGTAATGGGAGGGGTTTGTTTGACGAGCAGACACGTTACCCTATAAGGAGATGGAGAAGAGTATCGGGGGGAGGAGCCAGGGCATTGCTGATATCCTGTTGCTAAGCAAATGGGCTTGATTGACAGGCGTGGGGGGGGGGGGGGCGGGACGTTTGCGAGGGTCCCGTCTGGATTTTATGAAGCGTAAAGAAGCAAAGCAGTCAGCAGAGAGAGAGAGAGAGGGAGGAAAGGGAGAACAGCAGCAAGAGGAGCAGAGAGGAAGCGCAAGAGGGGGAGGAGGAAGAGTGATGGAGCTGGAGGAGGAGGGGGGGGTGGGGTTGACGTGGGATGGAATAATTTAACAAGAGGGTGTCTCCTGGCTCATCAGTATGCCACAGACACGGCGTGAACGTTTCTCCAGCTGTTTTTCAGCTCGGGTAACATCAGCATGGAGTCAAAAAGCCTAAAAATCTGAGTGGAAAACAACTTCTTCAGTTTAACGTTGTTTTTTTTCTGCATAAATGCGAGCGGCGCTAACTGCTCGCATCACATTTTCCATCAGCGACTTGGTCGAATTAGGCTGTAGACTAATGGCTCAGGGGCCTGATAAAGTAAGATACTGAAATGTCATTATTCATGTTAAATGACCCGGTGTTGCCCCAGTTAGCTCTTAGCCATCTTCCTCTTTTCTCCTCCTCGGCTCCTTCCCGCACAGCGTAGTGAGACTGCTGCAGAAGAGCACATTTTATAACATGCCTCCTCAGACACACTTGCTGCTGCTAACTGACCCGAAAGAAAGCCAGCTACTGCTACTGCTACTGCTCTGAGTCACTGGCTCTGCCTGGCCAACGCATACACTTACACAACCCCTTGATGCCTGACGCCTAAACGCCAGGGGAGCGGAAGCACAAACACACACACGCTGACACGCAGACGACATGTACACAAACAAAACGTACGCAGACCTGAATGCCGGCACAAAAGAAAGGAAAAAAAATAAATAAATACGAGCCTGCCGTTTGTCTACAGGGCCGCTCTTTTGATCAAATTGACGAAAATGCCCTCCGTCCTTTTCTCTGGCTCTCCTCTTACGCTGCAATCTTTGTGCGTTTATTCATAAGCACAAAGGCAGTGAGCTAAAGGCCCGTAACTTGGCGGTTTGAGAGGCGAGGTGGGGGGGGGGGGCATCAAGCAGGCACACACTATTTTTGTATATACCAGGCCATCATCTAGAGAGAGTGCTGTAGAGATGAAGTTAAAGTACATCTTCTCTGAAAAGGCCAATCGTAGAACACAAATACAAGGTTGTTTTTGGCTCGTATTCCCATTTTCTATTTTGGTCTGGCAGAAGGAGCAGCAACAGCCGGGGTTGTCCATTCTCCTGCTAGGCTGTAGTCTGTTGCAGTGCATGAGCCTCGACAATGAGGGGGAGGTTATGACTGCTGGAGATACAATCTAAACAGTGGTATAGCCTGTGGAAGTAATATTCGGTGATGTCAAAACATAAAGTCCCAAGTGTGCCGTTATTAAAAATCCAAGTCACTATCATTTTGTCTGATTGCATCACAACCTGTCAAGTCAAAGACTGACTCATCTCTGGTTGAGTGAGTTGTGTCATGAGTCATCAGTGTTGACTTGAGTGCAACAACACAGGAGCAATGATTAACATTTTAAAGCAGAGTAGGAGGGTAGTTTTCCCAACAAAGTTGACTCAAGGTTTTTTTTTTTTTTTTTTTTTTTGGGCTCTTTCTTTGTTTTGTTGTTGAAGAAATCTCTGAGGGAGCTTTAATACCTTTTCTTAATTTCTTCCTCTTATTATCTTTTTTGCTTATTTTCCAAATAGGTTGGCTGTCTGCTTGAGGGCAGCTTAATTTGAGGGTTTACACCTTAATACACGTTTGCTTTGGATTATAAACCAGGCTAATGACTCTCCAATGGTCAGCTTTACACCCTGACTCTGAGTGTGACCTTTCAGATAAGCTATGCAAACTTAAGCCTACTGATCAGTGTGTTTTCACACAGGCACAAAACTCCCCCATGCACAGATTTTCCAGGAATTAACTGGAATCAGTTATCGCAAGTGAACAAAGTTTACATCCACAAGCAGGTGGGGGGGGGGTGATGACTTTTGGATCACATGACTGGTGCTTGTCACAAAGCAGACTAATTGTCTTTCCTGCTCGCCAGTATATTCCGTCACACTCATTTGTGAATATGTGGCTCAGTGGTAGAGTCGCTCGTCTCTCAACCGGAAGGTTAGGGGTTCAATCCTCAGCACCTGCAGTCACATGTCCGATGTGTCGTTGGGCAAGACCCCAAGTTGCTCCCTCTGCTTCGTCTGCAGCGTATTGGCTAATACTACTCAACATAGCAGCCTCTGTCATCAGTGTGTGTATGGGCCGGTGTAAAAGTGCTTTGAGTAGTCAGAAAACTAGAAAAGCACTTGACAATCTCAAGTCCATACATCCAGTTCCATGTAGCATTGATATATAGGCAACAAAGTGTCAGTATAGTGGAGGTCTCTGGAGTATTGTCTGCCCTCTTGAATTTCCACAGTGTCTCTTCTTTGTCATGACTTGCCTTGTTAGACCTCGCCCTCTACATATTGTACAGGGGAAACTTCACACTGTGAGGGACATGTGTTAATAAACAACTCAGGATGATGTTAGGGGGCAGGCTGGCTGAAAGTTCCTTAAAAAATCTTAAAAAGTCTTCATGCTATCATGCTGACGTTGAGCAGGTACAATGTTTACCTACTTTCTGTTAGGGCCTCTTGCTATGCAAACATTTGCTAATCAGCCCTTTACACAAAGTTCAGCTGAGAATGAAGGGAATGTCATGAAGGCTTCTGGCCAAAAACCAGAGTAAGCAAATGTAATTTTACTAGCCAACCAGTTGTGGGGACTCCCCAAGAGGACCTGCTGATAAGGGGATGTTGATAGTGAAGGATGGGGTTGATTGGTAAGATAGGGAATGTCTTCAGGTTTGTTTTTAACATAGTGATGCTGCATTGCTCTTAGTGTGCTACCTCATTGCTGCAACTTCTACTTTCTCTACCTCATCTAACCCAACTTCAGGGATCAACTTTCCCTTTCCAGCATGACAGGAGTTGGGTCTAGTTTCTCTAATCCCGTGTGTCATCCAAGTTGGCCCATACCTGGTGACCCAGAATGACTTTCTCCACCTGCTATCGTTCTAACATCATCAAGAAAAGTTAATCTAACGGGCCGGGCTGATGCAAGAGGAAGCCATCCAGTGTGTCATTAAGCATTTGATGTAATTTGTCTCCTGCAGTCAAAAGCCTGAGCTACACTGACTAATTTCCTTGTTTTTGCTCTCCTTTTTCTGTCTCTCTGAATTTAATATATTCAGGATGTCTCAGCAGAGGTTTTCAGCTCATGTTCACATCATTACATCCAGTGATGTAACAGTGTGGATCTTTTATTAAATCTTATAATACAGAGAAGCTCCCCTTATTATACATTTTCCTTTCAAAGCTCCTGTGCATGGAATTATGATATTAACAATTAAAACAGAAGGCTGGGTGGAGTAATCTTCAGATGTGTAGTTACTTGGTCGTATCATATAATCAAAACCCTCTCGGGGTATAATTCAAATGTGGGATGTTATCACTGAGAGAAATCTTAAATTCAAGGCTTGTGGACAAGATTGGAAGAGGTTCATACAGCTGCTGAGAGGAGCGGCCACAGCTGCTGTATGAAAAGTTAAAACTTGGACTCTGTGGTCAGTAATCTGAGGCTGTATCGCCTGAGTGCCGGGCGCAGAAGAAAAGAGAAAATGGTGTCGCTTCACATGCAGGAGAGTAGAGGAAGTGTTCCAGGGATTTAGGCTGGAGAACAGGCAGAGCAGTTTGGCACCAGAGTTACCGTGTTCAAGATTGATCATAAACACGTATTTACTGTGAGGAGCGAGTGAGATGACGGGACTGCTGGTGGTGATCACCCAGCTGAAATGACCACCGTGCTTTAGTTATAAAAGGTTGAGTTCAAAGCATCTCTCTTCAAGTATCGGATGCTGCTCCTCCGCTCTCACAGCAGCACAAAAGCAACTATTAGCCTCCACATACTCAGATGTTTATGATTCATGTATTTAAGCAGCTGACAGACAATCAGTCGAACGTGCAAGTTAGAAAATAAAAATATATTTGTGGCAGTTCAAAAAAACAACAAAAAAAACATGTCATTGCTTCAAAAATAAAGCTGGCAGCAGTTTGTGCATATACTTGATGACGACATTATTAAATACATGCAACACTGACCGTTTATATGCACAGGGCCTGCAAGCCATGAAAGAAGGGGCTGCTTTTTCTTCTAATTCTTTCTTTCAACAGAATATTTAAGCAACTGTGAAAATCAAAATGAGTCTTAAGTGGCCTCTGTTTTAATAAATAAGCTCCACGTGATAAGATTGAATTAAAGACTCGGTGTAAAAAGATAGAATGTTTAATACACATTTTCTTGATGTTGAAAATCCAATCAAAAATGTCCGACCGCTTGTAAAGACCTAAATGATTTCTTTATTGTAATACAATGCAGGAAGTTGACCTGCCTTTATTCTGATGTATTTGTGTTCTTTAAGAAACAAAGTTTGCCTCTTGCCGTGTCGCAGTAGATGCTATCATGTCACAATGTCGATGTGATCCATGTCGACCGTGTGCAACCTCTGGTTTGTCACTAAGGCGAGGGGGCTGGCTACCGTGTCACAGGTGTGATGCTGAGAAAGGTCAAAAGCTGGGAGACAGATGGCACACACACACACACACACACACTTACACATGCACACTCTCCCACACACTTTTAACTCTCCCAAAGGGACAGAGATCTATTGTGCGACTCAGATGGGCATAGCTGCAGCCTGTCACTCACACACACACACACACACACACACACACACACACACACACAGTCCCTCTTCCAGTGTAGCAGATGTCTTGTAAGGTATATTGATTCTCATTAGTGGAGGTATATCCAGTTATCATAATTATTGATACTTTCTGCTTTAGCGCTTCTGCTAATGATGTAGCTTCTAATAATAATGATTAATGATGATAGCACTGAAAATAACCAATAAAGCCACATTTCTTTTGTTTATGCAGTATACCTGTGATTGTCATTGATTTGCATTTAACTTGTTTAACAACCTGCGTCTTTTATATATGAATCTTTTTTAATTCCTCGTACATCTTGGAGTCAGACAGTGACCATTTGTTTCTGTGAAAAGGTCAAAGATGCCAAAGATAAAGATGGTTTTCCGTGAGCAAATTACATGCAGTGTTTTAGTAAGTCATGCTGACCTCCTGCAGTAAAAAACACAATAAAAACGTAGATGTTAAACATACTTGCATGAATATTTTAGCACCGACACATCAGCATTTTGGCGTCCTCATTGTGTGCATGTAAGTCTGCTAACATTAGCTTTTAGCTTCAAGCACTGTTCTGACCCCGACAGAGCTGCTAGCATGACTGCAGTGCAGACTCGGCCGCGGTGTACGTAAAGACGCTGTCGACAAACAAAAGGGAAAGAGTTTCTCAGCTCGTCTCGAATTGATTGGCTGTGCGCTGCAGTTATAAAAAGATCAGAAAGAAGACAGTGTCGGGTGGGTTTATCTTTTAACAGCTACGGTTCAGAGTCGGGCCATTCCTCTTCTATCAGTCATCACCTTTTATCGTCCATCTCGCCTTCTCTGTCATCCCTGCTGTCTCACTCCGCTCACTAACCATTACCATTTTAGGGTATCCATGCCCCACTGCCAAAAGCCAGGAATGTCTGTGTGTGTGTGTGTTGTGTTAATGCACGTGTTGTATTTGTGTTTCGCCTTGTGTTTGTGTGTGCCTGTTCTGTCCTCCTACACACTCTAATGTTGGTATAACGTTTGGTTATTTTCATGGGGGTAATAACGTGCGCTAAATACTTGGGCAGGCTTCCTTACTAACAGTTGGTCTCTGTGTGAGCGTTTAGGTGTGTGGGTGTTTTGCGTGTCAAAGGTGATTTGTGTGCAGAGGCGTTTGTGAGTGTATGTGCAGGCGTTAGACACTCACCATTTTACAACACTCTGAGCGTGGAGGCATCTGACCCTCAATAATAGATGTGGCTGCAGTGAATATTTAATGGTGGGGGGGATAGATACATACGCACACACACACACACACAGGGAGATAGAAATATAATATCCATGCTTGTATGACTTTTAGACTGGAGCTCTCTCTGGAAAGTGGTCACTGTGTTGTCGGGTGATGCTCTCAGTAAAAGAGACCGTTGAAGTCCGCCAGCCGGTTCCTTTGGCGTTCCCTCCCCTCACTCTTCTTCTTCTCTGTCTTTCTTCCACCAACAGGGCTCTCAGGATAGTGCTGGCGGTCAGGAGGGACTCGTACCACCTTTCTCAGCGTTCCCTCCGCCTCCCCCGCCGCCCCCCCAGAACGGCCTGGCCCTGGATTACGGGGGCAGCTTGTACACAGCGGGGGCCGTGCAGGGCCCCGTGGAAGCCGGCGGAGCTGCGAACAGCGCCGCCAACGCTGCCAACAGCCTCAGCGCTCAAGTGAGTGCCAGCCGCGTCCTCTGTGTGCAGCCCACATCAGGTCTTTGCCTTGGAGAGGGCGCCGAGAGCGAGAGTGAAATGTGTGTTTAGATTAAAATGTAGTAAGTCGATTGGATGCAGCAATTTGACATCCACCTCCTCACAACCAATTTTCTGTATCGCAGGACCAGTCTACTGACCGATACCAAATACAGAGCTGACATTTTTGAATTGATTGCAGATACTCTGTGAACCTCTCATGTCCAAACTGATGCGAGCCTTTCACAATGTTTTTGTATGAGGAAGCTGCAGCTGTTAATTTAAGAGCAAAGCCATTTTAGCTCCAGCACTCACTCACTGTTCAGAGATGTCATCTCTGTGTTCCCTGGGTCCACTAAACCTCTTGATAATCTTTACAATATATAACCCTGAGGACATAGATGGACTCATTTACCAAACTGTTTTAAATGCTAGTTTGACGTTAGCTACGAGGGGTGTAATAGTAGGCCTATTTCTACTACTTTAATATTTTTACAGCAACAACTTCATGAGGCATTAGAAGACATTAAAAACAAAACATTTTGAAATTATTGAAATTGTTTCCCTGTGTCAATTTTAAATCCCACAGTGTGAGAGCTGTAGCTTAATGTTAGCTTAAGGCGTTGTAAATGTAGCAGGTTGTTTAATATTGTGCTGAACTGCAGAGAAAAAGAAGGGAGATGGATGTTTTGTATCAAGGATGTAGGCCTGTGTTTACTTTGTGCCACTTTGGAGATGGTCATCTCAACTCTCGAGTCTTAACCTGTAGCCGATAGCCTCAGTAGCTTCGAGCTGCAGATATCAGCTGAAGAAGGGAAAGGGTACAATTAATATTTTGCAAATGTGTTTTGAAAGTCGTAATGGGAAAGTAGTTTGACGTGTTACAACATGCTACATCTACATTAAGATTAAAACAGCATTCAGCGCTTTTGATTATGAAACACTACCTGAAGGACACACGGAGAAATTAGCAAATGTTTTTTTTTTTAAAGGTCTCCTCGACGTGTAGAGGTGAGAGATAGGGAACATAGAATAGTTTCTGGAGAAATAAAAACTTTAGCCGGGACTTGAAGTGTAGGATGTAGTGATTGTAACTTTACATTTACAGCACTTTAAGTTAACGCTAAACTAGCAGTTAAAGCAGCTCTCAGCGCGATAGGAAGCTTAAAATATGAACCCAGAGAAACCTCCTAGAAAAATGGAATAACATAAAAAAGGTTGCTGTACAAATATTAAAGTAGTAGAAATACTAGAACTATTACACCCCTTTTAGCTAATATCAAGTTGGCATTTAAACAGCTTAAAACAAATACATCTGCGTTCTCAGAGTTCTATATTCCCCAGTTGAATTATACGATTAAGAGGCGTTAAACCTGTTTTATGTTCAACATTTACCTGCACTTTTCCCCTTTCATTATGTGAAACAACAACCTAAAGTTAATAGTTATGATATACTGTTATTCTTATATGGTGTGTGTTTAGATTGTACAATTTTCTGTATTTCTAGAAACTGACAAAAATATCAAATCAACGAATCTCAGAAATAACTGGCTGAAAGATAAATAATGAAAATAATCACATCATGGGTCGCAGGTCTATTGGTGACACAGTACTGACAGCACTCTATCATCTTTTGTGTTATTTGTTAAACACCACTTTTTGTTTTTCCCTTTCCTTATCTCTTCTCTTCTCCCCCCCCGTCCGCCCGCCCGTCCGTCCGTCCCAGCAGACAGATGGATCCTCCCAGATTGACGTACAGTCAGGCGTCGGCTCAGGAGGAGGAGGCGGAGGGTCGATTGGGGATGATTCAGACGGCAAGGGGACCCCGAAACGCCTCCATGTGTCGAACATCCCCTTCCGCTTCCGGGACCCTGACCTACGGCAGATGTTTGGGGTATGTAGACTGGATTATTCCTCTCTTTTCTTTTTTGCCTCATCACATAAAAACAAACCAGAGAAGTTGAGAAGGATCAAAAATGTGAAGTAAAGAAGATTTAATGACTCAAAGGAGAAATCCAATAATGATGGAACTAATAATAATGATGATGAATTGAAGTTTTAAAGCCCCTTTCAAGAGACACAAGGACGCTTGGGTGACCCCAGACTCGTTATTTCCTGTCCTCAAGTGGGATTTTTAACACAAGTAAAATCCTGTTGTACGTGTTCAGCGTCTTACTCTTTTTGCCTTGAAAAACTGAAACTCAGAATGTAATTTGTAGAAAGGTTATTAGAACAAAAGGTTTAAAGAATCTGGCCTTGTGCCTGGGTTTTTCTGTAAGTGGAATGTCTTTTAATTGCGGTGCAGAGGGGAGAAAGATATGGTGGAAGGAAAGACTAGTGGAGCTGGCTCAGAGCCAGTCTGTCATGGTTGCACAGTGCTGACACCCTGTGGCAAGATGTAGGACATGAGCTAACATGCTTTTTTTTTTTTTTCTCCAGCTGCTTCATTTTCTTTTTTCTTTTTCTTTCACAGCAATACGGAAAAATCCTTGATGTGGAGATCATTTTCAATGAGCGGGGATCCAAGGTAGGAAAATGGAAGGTCTTGAAAACAAAAATGAGCTCAGCCTTTCAAGCTATTTTCAACCTCCCCTCACCCCCCCCTCTTCTTTTTTTTTTTCCATTCTCCACTCTCCTCTGCTCGCAGGGCTTTGGTTTTGTAACATTCGAGACTAGTGCAGATGCAGAGAGGGCCCGGGAGAAGCTTCACGGTACACTGGTGGAAGGACGTAAAATCGAGGTATAACTCACCACCCTCGCCCCTTTTCTTTTCTTTTTTTTTTTTTTTAGAATCAGTGACCGTTTTCTCCTCTGTTTTCCCTCCATGTCCGACTATGAGAATGAGTTTGTTCTGGTCGTTTCTGCCCCAGAGGTTTTCGGATGGCTGTATGTGTTTAACTCTAACCCCTCTGGCTTCACAATAGCATGGTGCAGTGGTGCTGCGCACACAGACGTCTCTCTGACAGCACCTCTGCTGATGTTTATGCTGTTGTTGTTGATGATGGTGTTGATGTTGTGGGCTGTCCATTGCACCTTGATCTTAAAAGATGTGTGGTTTGCAAAGCATGCTCGGTGGATTGGCTACACAACAGGCATGGCCGGTGAGACATCACTACGACGCGGTTGCCGATGATATGCGCTTCTGTCACAGCATGTAGGATCTTTTTTTGTTTGTTTGTTTGTTTTCCTGCACCTTTTCCATCATCACTTCTTCCATGATCATGATGAGCGGCCATTTTGATTTTATGGTTGTGTTTATGACTGGACGGGCGGTTATTTTTTCTCTGAAAAATAAAACAACAACAGTGCTTGCGTGTGTCAGTACGAGGTATGTTGCATGGATGGATCATAAGGTCAGATGTCATGTTGGGAGTTTCTGTTCAAATATGGTGGGGGCCTCTGGGTGGCATTTCTTATGTTTGATGTGTTAAGAGATTGATGCATGTTGGGGGCATTTTCAAAGGGCAGTTTTTTTTTTTTTTTTTTTTTGGAATGAGACTGCAGTGAAGAAGTGTGGTGTCATTTCCAATCCTTCAAAACAGCTGTTTAATTTCAGATGTGCAAAATGGATGGTCAAAAAAGAAAAAAACAATAAAGAAAATGTTTTGTTTACACACACCTGCATCCACCACTCCTGAAAAAGAACACCAGATCTCATGGAAGTGCATTTTGTCGTGACATCTTTTTATTTTTATTTTATTTTTTTTATTTGATTTCTCAGCATGAGCTCGGGGTTTCAGTTGCAAATGGCATCAGAGATCAAACGCACCACGCTTTCACCATTTGCTCTGGCTCTTGGTTTTTGAATCACGCTTTTATTTATGATTTAAACTCGCTACTAGAGCTCTTCTGCATGGTCTCAAATGTGCTGCACTCTTCTGTGTGTGTGTGTGTGTGTGTGTGTCTGTGTCTGTGCGTGGGTGGGTGGGTGTATGTGTGTGGAAGTGGAATTAGAAACATGGAGGGCGGGGAGAGAATGAACATGTGACGAGAATGCATACGATAGCTGTCGTTCCCTCTCCTTTATTTCTTTATTGTTTCTCCTTCATCTCTTTCACTCTTTTTCACCAGGCCAGTCTGTCTGTCCGTCTCTCCCAGTTTGTGTGTCCCCCATATGCAACTGCATTTCTTCTGTACCCCCCCCCCCCCATTTCTCTGTCCATTTCCCATAGCTGTGATATAGTCAGGTAGCTTAGAATGAGATTAAGTTTGATTTCAGGGGATTATTTTTCATTTATTTGATTTAAATGAGGGCAATAATGACGGATAGCGATCCTCCCAGAATCCCAACATTTTCTGTTTCCATTTGTTTTCTCCTTTATCAACCTCTTCAATCTGTGTTTGTAGTGGGTTTGGGAGGTTCAGTTTGCTGTCAAGTGGCTGATACCTGTAGGTGACTGTTGACACGTGACCTGTGACATCACTTCCTCTCTGCCTTCGGGTGGGGGTTGCTTTTCATTACCTCGTTTTGTTTGTTTGATTTTTTTTTTTTTTTTTTTTGGTTCATCATTTCTTTCTTACATATATTTTCTCTATTTCCCTGATGATTTTTGTATGTTGTTGTTGTTGTCAGTCTCCACGGTAACTGCTCGCGTGTCCTCACGCCGTTTCCCAGGCAACGGTAAGTTGTGTACACATGGCATCATCTTTGAATGACCCCTCCCCCCTCCCCCCCCCCCCCCCCCCCACCCCATCTGTCAAAAAAAAAATCCAAATAAAATGCACCCAACACCCAAATGAAGGACTCCTTGACTGGAGGGAGCTTGATTGATTGACAGACCCTGATTGGCTAATCCTGTGATTGATTGGGGAGGTGGTGAATGAAACGATTACGAGATTAGCCAGTGACCGCATGGCATTATAAAGGCCACTTGTATAACTGAATGTACTGCATCTATCTGCAAGTGCAACAACTATGACTACCACTTCTTATGCATTCATTCCAATCACCTCTCTAACTGCATTCAGCATTTAATTCAGAGCTGTATCCTGCATGGTTTACTCTCTTTCTCGTCATCTGTATGACGCCATATAGTACTATGTCATCTCTCTCTGTCATGTGTCAGCCAATAGCTGCATTTCTGCACCTTAGTGGGACGGCATGCTGAAGCATGAACGCTCTGTTAGCTTAACCGGAGAGAGGAGAATAGGTGTCTGTTTATCATGGAGTACTTGACTATCACTCTCTGTGCCACTTTGTAGACTGCAGACAGTTGTAGAGGTATGGCTGTTCAGATTTAACAATTCAAATTAAAGATATGTTGAAGTGTGTTCTACATAAAACTGCTCCGTTAGCATATTAGCGTTACAGCCTTTCAAAAAAAAAAAAAAAACAGCACAAAAAAAGCTGCCGTGAAATAATTTTCTAGCCCCCAAGTCTGAATCTGTCAGCTTTTCTTTGTTCTGATTTCCCCAAAGGAGGTGTCTTTGTTTTACTTTTTGATCAGTTTGGTTCTGGATGGTGTGTGTTGGTTGTCGTGTGCTTCGAGGTCTCTCTGGTGTGCGACACTGATCTGGAATGCCTGGCAGTGTTTCACAACCATGGTTTGATTTGATTTATTTTGAGGAATGATATTTGCATCCCCCATCCTCTCTGTCTTTAGACTCCTCTCACTCTCTTTGTGTTTTTTATTTATTTATTTATTTATTTCTCCATTCAACGTTTCTCCATTGTTGCTCATGGACGGTTAGATCCAATGTAGGCGAACGGTCAGACGTGTCCTGTGCGTGTGTGTCGCATCTTGTCGTTTCTGTTTGCTCATTAGAAGATTTGCACATGTGGATGGATTGTTCACTCTCTGCCTCTCTCTTCTCCTCGTCATGTCTGTGTTTTTTCTGTGTCTTTCCATGTGGACTGGCTCCTCCTCCTGCATCCCTCTATATTTCTGTCTTTTCTCTGTCGTTCCCCTTCCCTCCCCGTCCTCCTTTTTTTCTGTATGACGTGTAATTGATTGGGAGGGCTGCCAAACTTTTTTGGATTGGTTTCTTGCTGCATCTGATGCTTGCTGATTGGCTAGTTCTGCTCACCTCTGGTGATGTGATGCGCTCTTGATTGGCTGCGTGTAATTTGTGTATGAACTCTTTGATTGATGTTTTTTTGCATTGTGTTCAACTGATAAATCTGCCGCTTAATTCACCTTCTTTTCCCCTCTTTTTTTTTTTTTTTTTAAAGGTAGCAATATAATGGTCTTGGATTTCTTTTTGAATGCTTTTCTTCAATATTTGAGTTATTTTCTTTGTTCTGTGTGCCAACGGTTGCATTGTTTGTGTGCAAAACTGCCTGACTACTCACCAGAACCTCGTTTTAAATGTCTTTCTCCTTCAAAAGAAGCGCATGCATTAAATACCATCGTTGTTCATCAACAGAATTAACCTCTGTCATAAGTAAAAAAAAAGGATTTGAACTTTATTGACACCTCAAGTCAAGCGCAGCTTTTTTATCAAAGCACACAACATATACAAACACTTTCAAACATTATTGGATTCTGCTAAATTTATCGATTCCTATTTCTGTGTTTGAGCGGGTTGACTGAGTGTCTGATCGCTTCTTCTGGTGTCCAGGTGAACAATGCCACAGCCAGAGTGATGACAAACAAGAAGATGACCACACCTTACTCTAACGGAGAGGGCCTCGCAACTCTGCCATATGGTAACGACCTTTCACACTCCACAAAGAGCCCGTTGGACTGTTCTGACAGTACGGAGAATATGGCTTTAGTGTCACCATGAAAATGAAACAGGAATGCTGCTCAGTCCTAAAATGTCTTAAATGTTTTAAATTCACCATTTTCAAGGTTAGGTTTTTATTTTAATATTCTCCTGTAATTTTACTTTTCTACAAAATCTGGTGTTCCATTTTCTCTCCCTAAAAAAATAATGAAAAAAATCCTTTGTCATATTTATTTGTTGTCTCCTGATGTCTCACACCAGATGGTTAACGGTTTCTAAATAACAGGATTTTTTTTGCGTCAGCAACAAGCCAGATTGCGTTTTGCAGACAACTTTTTGTCTAACAGATAAAATAAAAAAACGCTTTTGTAGAGGAGCAACAAGGAGGCCGTCGTACAGCTGGTAACAGAAATACAGTCACAGCAATACACAGATTATTATCAGTTTAAAGGACACTGGAAAATGATGGCAATAATAATGATCTTCACACTTGATGATAAAGACTCAGAGAGACTTATACTTTTTGATTAAGGAACCTCGAAAATATTAGAAAACCACTTTAATCTAACGTTTCAGGAGTTTAACAAGCCCTGATATTAAAATATCGGGTGTCTCTGTCCTTTATATAATATCTAATAAAGACACAAATGTCATACAAAAAACGAGCTTTAAAAAAAAAGCTTTGTACTTAATTAATTTACAACCGAGACTAAAATAACAGACATCAATTTCAGCATTTAAAAAGATGACATTTCTCTGTGAGTTCTCTGTAAAATCATGGCTTCATATTTACATCTGACTTTTGTCTTTGACTGTAGCTGGTTGGAAGTTGAGTCCCATGGTTGGAGCCATGTACAGTCCTGAACTCTACACAGGTATGACACTAAGGATTAGATTGATACTTTTTAAAACTAATACTGTAATGTAAACTGTACTGAAGAAGCTGTTTTCTCTCTCTCCCCCTCAGTACCCGGGTTTCCGTACCCGGCCGCAGCAGCAGCAGCTGCCTCGACCGCTGCCACCTTCCGAGGTGCTCACCTTCGGGGTCGGGCCCGGCCCGTCTACAGCGCGGTCAGGGCAGCTGTGCCACAGCCTGCCATCCCCACCTACCCTGGGTAAACACACACACCAACACCTACACAGACAATCAGTAAACTACTATTAATGATAGCAGCTACACTCTAATGCATGTTTCACTTGGTTAAAAATAGAACATCATAATTGCGCTTGCTGTGTGTTTAATATCATTTTAATGAAGTAATGACAGTGCTAGTTTGCTGAGCTGAAATACCATTTCCTTGTATCTCAAAAAATGATAATGAAATGATTCTCACATGTGTTAGGAGACATTAGTCTCAGCACTCGCAGTAACAATAGTATCACTCTGAAGTCAGAGCATTTGTATACAAAGAGGTGGTATTTTGTCTTGCATGTTGCACGGTGTGTAATAATCTCACCCTTCTTTCTCTTCTCTCTTCACGATCTGTTTGGCACCATCTTCTCACATCTTTCTCCCTCTATTGTCACTCTTTTCTGTTGTTCTCCACAATGCCCACATGGTGGCGCATCACACCATTCTTTTGTTTTGTTGTGCCTCTACTTTCCACCACCGCTTCTCTGGACTCTCTTCTTTTCTTTCCATCCTTCCTTCCATCCTCGCCTCTCTCTCTCTCTTTCTCTCTCTCTCTCTCTCAGCGTGATGGCCTATCAGGATGGCTTTTACGGTGCGGCTGATCTCTATGTAAGTATACCGTCTCTCTTTCACTGCCTCACTCCTCACCTACGTTTCCCCCCCCCCCTCTTGCCTGTGGGTTGACAAGTGTGAAACAGCACAGACCAAACTCAAAGAGATGTGCACTTCTGGATGCTTTGATTCATCACATCTACATAAACATTCACATAATCTTAACTTATGATTCTCTTAAATACAAACTCAGCACTTTGTTCAATGTACATCATGCAGAATGTCATTTAGGATTTTCTTTGTTGATCCACACAGATATATAAAAATCAATATCACACACACACACACCTCCATCAAAGTCTTCATTCACGAGTTCACTCCCCTCGGGTTTGTCTCTGTGCATTTGTGAGTTAGTTTGTACCAATGTGATTTTGAGCGTGTGTGGGTCTGTGTGTGCGTGTGTGCGCGCGCATGTGTGACAAGGTTGACAATAGCTGTTTCTGTTCTCTCTGTAGACTAGTGTTTCAGGACATTAGTGGCAGATTGCCCCAGGTAGGGTTTACACACTCTGTTTGAGAGCCAGTGTGCATCCTCCTCGTCTCCAATGACTGCGTGCTGCTAGACATTATTTACCATCTGAGATTGAAATGCCTTCTCTGTCTACTTCTACTAACTCACTGGATTCTGACATGGGCGGAGTTGCGGAAGGGGGAGAAAACAAATAGGCTAGATCTGATTCTGAACCAGGAAGAATAGACGACAGAAAACTTCAAAGCAGGGTAGATAAGGGTTAGGATAAGTCAAAGGTCTATAGCTGAACGCTTTCTTCTGCACAAGGGTTGTCATTATATCAGAATTTAACTAAAGAAAAGACTAGAAAAAAATCAAACACTTTTGATACCACAGCAACATAATGGAAGTCTAGACACCCCATTTTCTTCTTTTAAACTCCCAAAGATTGCATCAAACTACTGCATACTGTCTTAATTGCATAAATATGTTTGCGACATTTCGGTACCAAAATCAATGTGTTTGTGCAATTCAGACATTTGACATCATCATCAGACATCATCTGCTCGCTGTCTGTTTGTAAAAGACATGAATGTTACTTTAACGCAGACATTTTGTCAACCTTTGAATCTGAGTCGACCACAGCTGCTCTCTCTTGCTCCGCTGCAGGTTAAACTATGACTGAAGATCCGTCTGTGTTCTTTTAAAGCTTCAGTTCCTTTTGATACTATAGATCATTAAAGAAGCTGAGATTGTAACGTTTTACGCAAGCGAAAACCTCTGGTGTTGTAAAATGAAGCCAATGCGGAAATGCGAAATCCTGCAGCGCATCCGATACATTGTCCATAGTGAGGCTCATAGTTGACATGATTGACAGGCGGGGCGATGTAACGGTTTGTCAAGACATTTAAAACCTGCCTCAGCTCCAGCTCTCAGCCTGTCGTTAGGCTGACTGACAGTTAGGCTGAGACAGGATTTCCAACATGGCGGCTGCTGCCGATGAGCCTCCAGAGCCCCCTGCAGGAACAGATATCTGACGTCATGCTTCGTCCATAAATATTTACAGTCTGTGGTTTTAAGACACTTGGTATCAAAATAGTATCAAAGTTTCTGAGATTTTGACAACCTTAAACTGCAATTGGGATTAAGTCTGTTCCCTTTTTTTTCCCGTTTTAAAAACAAGGATTTTATTTGAATTTGGCATCACAGATTTCATCCCTGCAGCAAAGTTCCTTTATGTTATGGAGGGAACACGCCTTTAAAAAAAATGAACTTTTGACTTTATTATTTGGCTATTTTTCATATATTTACTCCAAAATGAGACTAAATCTTAAAGGGAGTTTTCATTTATCACATGTAAATTCAGTTTAGAGTTTTTTGTTCGTAGGGCACAAACTTTCAAATCTGGCACGTCAATAAAAATATAACTTTTTTAGCAAGCGGCATTGTCATTCTATAAACACATACAAATAAGAAATGTAATAAACAAGTGGTGGATAAAAACACAGAAACACTTCTTCAGTAGTCAGAGGGATGTAGGGCAGTCTCAGTCAGCAGTGTCTTCAGACCCCTTCCAGGAATCTCCCGATCTGTTTCACCTGTGGCATGCTAACTGAATCAATGTCGGCATGCAGACATACTTACAAGGCTGACTCCTCCCCCAGTTCCCCCTTTATCCCCCCTCCCTCCACTGGTCCAGCTATAAACCCCTTTTCTTTTTTCATCATTCTTTATTACACGTCTTTCTATTTCTGTTCGTTTCCCCCAAAGTGTCTCAGGCACTTCCCCTTTTTCATCCTCTTCTTCTGTCCTTTTGATTTCACTCATAACGCTAGCTCTGTGTCTCTCTCTCTTTTTTTCTACGCCTCTTCTCTGTCTCTCTTCATCCCTCTGTTTTGACCTCTTAGTCACCCTTCCCCCCCCCCTTCTTCCCTGCTCCCCCTCCAGCCTTCCTCCCATAGCAGCCACTGTGTGGTCCTGAATGTGGGGACTTGGTCTTGACTGATCCTTTAGGGTAGAATGCAGCGGTGTGTGTTTTTGTTATGTTTTTTTATTTTTTTATATAGGGATGTTTGGCCTAATATTCTGGACGTTCTGAGTTTGGGAAAGCATGCTGTGTCTGTCAGTGATTGGTCGCTGGCCATGTGAGCGTGGTGTGTGTGTGCTCTCTTTAATCCCAATGGCTGACTGTCTTCTTACACCTGTAGTTTTTTTTTTTGTGACTGTTCATCAGCTGTCCATCCAAACATAAATAATGACATAATCATCCTGCCACCCCTTCCCCTTTCTTTAACTGTGTGTTTTTGGGAGGGGAAAAGGGGTGGGGCATAGTAATGGGCATGACCTCTCTCCCTCCATGTCCAACACACAGAGAAAAAGAGAGCAGACTTTAAAGATGTACCTGATGAAACATGTAGTTTCCATGTTGGTCATGGAGGGAGAGACCCTCAGAGCCTGAGCTACATCCTTGTGAATGCTGTACTGCACCAGATTAGCCAGTTGTGCCGACTGTCTGCTTGTTAATCTTTCGCTGTCTCAGCAGTTTTATTTTCTCACAATGTAACCCATTAGATTCACCACTAGTCTGTTAGAGTGCACAAGAAATACGACAAACTTCTAACAAGAATTTACACTTGTTTCTGTTTCTTCTCACCTCTACCTCCATCACATGCTTCCCTTTACCCCCTCGCCATCCTCCATCTTTAATCACAGGGCGGCTATGCAGCGTATCGTTACGCCCAGCCGACAGCAGTAGCGACTCCTGCAGCAGCAGCGGCTGCAGCAGCAGCTTACAGTGACAGGTGAGTGCGCGGTCCAGCTCCTCTTCTAACACCTGAGGCGGTCCTTCAGATGATAGTTGCTTGTTTACACGAAGTGTTCTAGTTGTTTTATCATTTTATTTCATTTCATTTTGATTTAACATCAATCAAGACTGGTATGGAAAAGACGGTCTAAGACATTTAGGTGAAGGAAAAAGAAGAAGCACCACCAGAGATCTGGGACATAATGTTGTTGAAATGTTCTATACTATGATACTCATCTATACCACATGTTTTTAATCAATACAATCTCCATTATTTTAATAATCAATAGTGGCATTGAGCTCTTAAGCTTTAAAAAAAACATTCAGGTCTTCAGTCATATTTTTAACCACAAGCTGCCACTAGAAAAAGAGAGACCACAGTTTAGACTGGCAACGTTTTGGTGCAATTTAGTATTTGTGCAATGTAGAGCCTTACCCACAATTTTAGGCAGGAGTTAGCCAACAATATTTTGCGGTTAGAAAACAAGAAATTACACAGAATTGGATAAATACGACAATGAAGATATGTAAAGACAGAATAAAGTTGTAAAAAGAACAAAAAGCAATACAATTCAACAACATGTAATTAATAAAGTAAAGTGGTTTGGATGAGGAAAGACTAAAAGTAGTTTAGAGTTTCATTCCCATAAAAATCATGGACGAGGAAGGCAATACGTGAATAAATGTAAACCATTCAGCAGCTTTCATTACAGTCACTTTGTACCATGAACCAAATGTCTCCTTTGTTTTTGTTATCAGAAAATGTGTGATCTAATTTCTGATGTTTTTACTGTTTTCTGACAGCTACGGGAGAGTTTACACAACAGACCCTTACCACGCTGCCCTGGCCCCAGCTGCCTATGGTGTAGGAGCCATGGTGAGTACCTTCAGCTGCTTTATATTATCATGTACAACATATTATCAACTATGTCCATGTAATGAGGAGGAAATAACAGGGCCCAGACGATATGGGATTTCTGGGGCTGATATTGAAATTGAGGGGAGAAAAAAAATCTGATACTGACTTTTTGACCGATATCTTTCTTCGATCTATGTTTGATCTGTGGGCGATAGATTTAGATATAAACATTTATTACGTTGATTCCTTGTATGCAGTTATCAAACACTTCTGGAAAAGATATATCATGAAGACAAGATCGTCACTTAACTGAAAAAGTAACTGTGCATGTATGTGCGTCACCGCTCAACACTCTGGAGAGTGATGATGGTTGTTGTAATCCAAATAGCGCCCTCTGCTGGTGACAGAGAACTGCTACTTTAATTCAATGAAACTCAAATGAAATGCTTTTTGATTGGTGAATAAATCTAATATCGGCAATAAAATTAGCCGATACCTTTAGTCACTGGATATAATATTATCAGCTGGCCAATTAATCGGTCGGGCTCTACAAAATATTTTAGTCCATCTCTCCATATTTATAATCTCCTGTCCTGACTGGTTGCATTAAAGCAGAAGACAAAGATATTTCAGAATAGGTCATAAAAAAAAGCTGTGTTATCATCCGTCGAGGCTCACGTTTTTATTTTAAATGAATTATTTGTTATTTTTTTGAACATGCTTTTAACTGTTAGTTACTGTGTGTTTGCTGTACTCTGTATTAACATCACTATGAGTGCTTCAAAACAATGTGTACAGAGGAAACGAAGCTCTCTTGATTTGACAAAGTTCAAATGTAGTTTTGAATTTGAGGCAATGAAACAAAACACCGGACATGATGTAGGCTTTGAAGAGGTTCTTTGTTTTAAAAAATCTACTTGAAAGACTTGATTAACAGGTTTTAGTCTTTGGGTGAAATTTCTGGACAATAAATGTTGAATGAAAAATGTCATTAAGGTAATTCACTAAATGTCTGTACTTTGCTGTTCCACAGGCCACGCTGTACAGGGGAGGCTACAGTAGGTTTGCCCCTTACTAAAGACACTACATTTCCCAGGAGCTCCTCTCTTCCATTGATTTACTCTGAAAGAGCTCCCTCTGTTGTCGTGGAGGTGGACTGCACCCAGTTTTAAAGTGTGGAGTCGACCCCAACAAAGATATTTCAGATCCCAAACCCCGAGCAGTCCCACATTTTCTTATATACGCTACTACAGAAATAGAGGAATGCTGTATTAAAGACTGACGGATGGCCTTAAAAGAAAAAAAAAGAAGAAAAAAAAAAAAGACTTAAAAAAGGCCACCTTCCCTATTGCACGGCTGTATTATAGTCCCCTTCTTCTTATTCCCTCGGCACTCAGCAGCACAAGACTCGGGACGGAGCCCACATGTTCTTCCAAAGGCTGTGTGTAGAAAGCTGACATTTAAATAGCTGTCGACCATGTTTGAGACGGAGCCAAGAGCTGGGAGGGAAAGGAGCAAATCAAAGCCTCCTCAAAAAAAACCCATCAGAGCTGTAGGAAGCAGGAAGATGCACGAAAGAGCACCTAAAAACATTTTAAAGCGGAATGACGAGTCTCTAAAATGATTTTTAAAAACAACAACAACAACCCACAGACGGATTTGGTCGTTCCTCCTCAGAGTGCGGGCAGATAGAGAGGGGAGAGGAGGTCCATTGTAGCTGTGGGTTCTGGTAGACGTGTGTGGGGGGGGGACTGAACATGGCGGCTCGGAGAAACGAGGTGATGGTTTATAACGCTACAGAAGTCACGTCTGAAAGCTGAAGGGAGGAGGATTATTAGAGCTGCTCCTTACCTCAAGTTTTCTTAGTATGTGGAAATGACGAACCTTTAAACTTAAAATTGTTATGATATGCAAAGAAATTAGTTTAGAGAAATGTTACCAAATTATTATTATTATTATTATTATTATTGTAATTATTCTCATTATTATTCTTACAAAACCATGATTTAGTTGAGCTCAGCAGCTTCTGCTGTCATGTAGATCCAACAGTGAAACTTGGGGTTAAAATCGGAGAATCTGTATAACCAACATGTTCCACCTTTTGACTAAACGACACAACTGTAGTCTCGTGATTCCTCCTGCGCACAGGATGTCACTGCACTGTGTGTGAACACTACAGAAAGTTCAACACTACTCCTTCAACATGTTCTTCTTCTTCTTGGAAAGGATTTTTAGCTTTTAGATCAAAAAGAAAATCCTCCGCCCACAAACCTCCCAGGTTCAAGCACATGTTGATCCTTCAGTGTAGAGATTAATTGTTTGGATTTTCCCCTCTGACTACATCTTTTATTTTATTATTATTTTTTTTTAGAGCAGCGTCCAACATCGAAAGAGTCTTCCTGAAACATACTTTAGTTGGTGATTGTGTTTTCCAGCAGCTATTACTGAGCAAGAGAGAGATTCTGTCCGTGAGTGAATAGAAAATATTTAAATGCAAAACACCTTACTATTGTGCATATTTCTTTACCGTTGTATTCTTAATTTCCAAATCGTGGCTTTTTTTTTTTGTTTGTTTGTTTTGGCTTTTGTTTTTGTTCCAAAGATTTGTAGAAAGCACATTTTTCTGCCGTATGTATAAATATATTATCTTTGTTATTGATGTTCTCATAATCCTTGATAATCCTATTGCTGTCTTTATTTACTTATATTCATCTTTCATTCATTTCTTTTTTAAATATATATCTGAATCCTTTCCAGTAAGGTGCAAGTTAACAGTTCTTTTTTTTTTTGTGCTTGATCTCGAGCCGGTTGCGTACCTGAGAAGTGACGGACTAAAGGTTTGCTTGTAACACTACCAAACGTTGATCCCTTTAGTGATATATATTCAGGCATTTCTGGCTTTATTTGTTTTTGTTTAGTTCGTTATACACATTAGCATGACGTATTATTATCTCTTTAAAATATACAACATGGGCGGGAAACAGACTCTTTCTGTGGTTATATTTTGATTGAGATATTTGGAATAAATGAACATAGGTCTGTAGCACTTTGGTCTAACCAAACATGCTCCTTTTCTGTGTTTTTCTTTTGTAAGTTTTTCTATTTATTTCTCCCTACATTTCAAAGCTTTGCCAGCGTCGTTTGACCCAGGTTTGTTTGAAGATATCAAATAAAACGTCTGAAAGTGTTATCTCTCATACATAGGAAGATTATATTCCAACATGTTGAAAAACAAAATGTCTTTGTGGTATTTGATCTATATTGTGTGTTCAATGGGGCAGGTTTTAATTTTTGTGTTGTTTTTTTTTTTTTTTGCCCATAAATAATTTCAAAGCTACCGTTGTGTTTTTCACTTCTCACACTTGGGAAAACATACAGGTCAAAACACATGTTTGTTTTTTTGTTTGTTTGTTTTTTTGTATGTGTGCTGCTGTTGAATTTTTCTTAACATCTGACATTTTTCATGATAGATTTCCAAGTTACATTTAGAATGTGCTCTGGACAAAAAAGGGGGCGGGGGGGGGGAAAGAAATCTAGCCAAAGATGCTAACTTGTAGTCCCCAGCACGTTCTGCCTCCCAACTTGAGAAATGCTACACAAAATACACAAAGATGGACTTACAAAGCCACTGAAGGCATGGACAAACCAGCATGAGTGATACTTGTCAAGTAATATATATATATATACAACAACAAAAAAGAAAACAATTTGCATGAATCTTGTGTCTATCATATTTTGACTCCTTAGCAGCCGAGCCCAGTTGCGTTCTTCTTTACCGCTGTACACTCTGGAGAATGTCAGGCAGCTAGCAGTTTGACGCTAGCTAGCACAACAAAGAGCACAGTGCTGTTTGACAAAAAGACCGGCTGACACAAAATGGCTGCCACGCAAAGGAATCGTGGCAGCGTCATTTTCCTGTCGTAGTCTTCTTGCCCATGTATTATAGTCAGCTATGTGGCCATTCTTCATAGTTGCTATATGGTTTGTTAACAACCAGTCCTCTCCTTATCTCATGTCTATATCCTTTTGACTGCCATTATGTTTTGTTTTTTTTGTTATTGAATGTCCATATAAAATGTTTTATATAAAAATGTTTTGTTGTGATCCAGGTTTCAGATTGTTTTCTTTACGTATTCTATTTATTCAGTCAAACGTAAGGGTGCTGTTTTGTAGTTTCTCACGTTAAACCACACACAGTCGTTGTCAGAATGTGACTGCTGATTTGAAATAGTGATCAGAAAAGTCTGATACCGCTGCTTCAAATGCGTAAAATTTCTCTGACCAATTCAGAGGAAAGAAACACAGCACTTACAGCCTACATACAGAAAGCTTAAGTCATGAGAACTGCTAGCAAACAATTAGCTTAATCACAGCTTAAATCTTTCTTTTAGTCTCCAACAACAGATATAACAACCTCTTAATTATTATAATTCTTAACTATGTTGGAGGCTAACTGCTCACTTCATTTTACTGAATGGTTGAGAACAGTTTAATTACCGACTATAAGTGTAGATCCAAACATTTAAACGATTGATGGAGCTTACATGGTTTTGTAAATGTCAAAGCCTTTCACGTTATAAATGATATTGTCTAAGGATCCACTCTCCGTTGTCATAGTGAGTCTGAGGAGTAGATGTTCGGTTAGTGTTTTGAGCTACATGCTCACAATGAAAAGGCTAATATTTTGTTTAGCAGCTTCAATGTATCCCGAACTGGTATCATGTTCACCTGTAGTGATCAAGCTTACATTTGTTAGGCAAGCTATATGTCAGCCATCTGGCTACATGCAAATGCTAAGATATAATTTAGCAGCGTTCATGTTTTCATGTTTCCTATCTTCAGTGTGTTAGCATGCTAACATTGGCCAAATCAGCATGTACTGATGTCTAAATTCACAGAGAAATACAAATAATAGCCTATGCAGCCTATATTAAACGGTATACCTTAGTATTCTTCATCTGTGCTCAGATATAATTTATTAACTTGCTCAGTTTACTGAAGGACAACAACATTTCTTTTTTGGGGAAAATATTTATTGACACAATCAACTGCAACTCCAAATTCCTCTTGATAGTATTCTCTACTTCAATTGTTCATAAAAATAGAAATATATTTATATCATAAACAGCTGTACATTCAAGAGTAGTTGCTCCAAAGAGGGGGAAGGGGATGGAGTGGAAAAGGCAGGAGAGAGGTCAAAGGTTCAGTTGTGATATGCAGAATTAGCAGCTTACAACAGGTTTAGGCTTGTTCACTGTCTCTCAAAAGTGGACAAGCCAAGTGCAAAGTACAGGGAGGAAAGTTAGAATTATAGCATGAGGACCTCAATGAAGCATATACAAATTAATCTCTTTAATTTTTCTGCCAATTGTTCCTTAGTTGCTTTAAGCTTTAATAACAGTGTTTGTGCAATCTTTCCTGTAGCCCGTGTGGGCCTAACACAACAGACATCAGTACGGGTATGTTTGAGGGCGAAGGAGAAAAGGGCGATTCAGGAGAAATGGGCGAAGGAAAATTAGTCCAGGGATGTATTTTGATTTTGTAGAAGACATGACGAGGTTTCTAGACAATTCCATATTTCGCCAGGTCGCTGAGCTCCATGTCGCCGAAGGCCTCCCATGGGCAGACCACTGTGATGTCTGTGCCCAGACCCTCCATGCCGGGGATGTCGTCTCCAAATCTGAAAAAGAAGCAGAAGTATCGATTAACTTTCTGTGAATGTTTTATTTGGACTAATAACTCCCAGGGGTGGAATATATCTGGTCTTTTACCACGTTAAAAACAAAATAAAACAAAAAATACAAGAGAATAATCAGCTAAATTCAGATTTTCTGCATGTCCCTGCAAGTTTGAACTTTACATTTAACTTATAGATTCCATTTTTATAATACAAGGTTGGACCTATTCGGCCTTTAACATTTTCAGATACAACAGCATGAGATGTAAATTCTTAAACAGCTCTGAAACATGACTCAGGTCACAACTATATGAAGAGGTGAGAAGCCAAAAACTGTGGCTCTCATGGTTCAATCTCATCAGTTTATTGATTTTTTGCAGTCGAGTAAAAAGTTGACTTTCACACTGAAATACTGGCAAGTTATAAAGTAGTAGAAAACCTAAAAACTCAAAGTAGAAATATCTCAACGTCCTGCGATCTGCATGCATAAATGAACAAAGTTACACAGCGTTGACTGTGCTCTTACCCCTTCTGGCCTGGCTTGGGGGCCTTGCTCTTGAAGGTACGAGCGGCCCTCTGCTTGAACTTAGGAGGAGCCTTCTTGTCGGCGGGAGTTGCAACAGCTGCGTCTGCCATCTTTTATTCACTGAAAGGAAAAAAACAATTTACGCTCAATTAGTTAAACTCCTTTGTAAGACCCTCTTCCTCCTTCCCCCGCTAAGCCCCACTGCTCCCCTGCTTGGATGGGATAAGGTGCCTAAGTGAGATGAAATCATAGCTTAACGCAGTCATACAGCTCCTGTAGAGCCTGTTACACAAACAGCTTTGTCTATTTTTACACCTTGGCTTTAAAGATTACTCTTGGACACATCAAGCATCTTGAGTCCAGGATATTACTAAGTTCTCCTAATTCCAAAGTGAGTCTGACGCTAACACGCATAGTGTATGTTGAATAATAACCCAGGAGTGTAAGGACATGTTGACCTGAACAGGTGATTTTCAAATCTACTTTCATCTGACTCTGATCTCAGTTAGAGTTGAGAGAAAGCTCAGCAATGATCTGGACTTCACCAGAAGGTTCTTTGAGCTCACTGGATTCTTATTTGAACGTGCACGCTACTATAATACTCTCTTTAAATCCCTAGTAAGGTCCAAGTTAACCCGTAGGATTTAAACTTTCAAACCCTGCCTGATTTTTTTTTAAATGTCCAAACTAGAAACACAGCGCTCCTTTAACTGATCAGACAGAACAAACAACACAAACATTATTAATCAGCAGGTTTTGATGATCTATGTGAGAAACATTCTCCAACCTTTCACTTTTTTTAAGCCTGCAAGATTCTTTGCTTTGAATGATTAGTTTCAGACAAGACGGCAGACAAACTTTATGATAAACCATGATTAGATCCAGCACTGAGAGAACTAATAAAAGTAAGAAAGGAAGAACTGTCATCTCAGTTTGTACACAATGACTTCATGTCATGCAAACATCTCACGCTGAAAGTGATGGCTATACTCTCGCGCTTCATTGAAACAATCATTTCTCGATTTTTTCTTTCCTTTTTTGTCTGTTTAATTAATATAAACTTGTTCAGATCTCTCAAATCATTGATGCTTTTTTCTTTAATTTTTAAAAAGGAAATACTTTTCAACACTGTTTGCTGTTTCATGATCCGTCTTTTAAATTGATTGCACATTTACCCTGCAGGAGAATAGAGACTGAGTTTATCTAAACATGAAGAATTTGAAATATTTATCTATTTTTAACATGCATTTAATAATTTGCCTCTGAAGACACATTGAAACATGTTTGGCTGAAAAATCACCATGCACCGAAAGTGACAACAATCAAAGTTCTGTACTCTGCACCAAAAGACTTCACGTTCAATTTAATCAAACTTTCTTTTGAAGCACTGAAACACAACTTCACAGGACTTTATGTAATCTGTCTTCTATCATCTTTTAAAAAAATGCAAATATATCTTCAACTTAGAGAAGATAAGGAATGACTTCTGGAGAGTCAAAGCCAAAATAGAAGAGCCAAACATCTACTTCTCTAATACTTCAAACAATACTTAAGTGTTTTACAGACAGGTGTCATGATGAAGTCAAATAGAGAATGAAACTCAAACAAGGTTTCAAACTGCACAAATAACAACATATAAAAAAGAATACAACAAATAAATCAGCTGAGTTTTCAGGTGCTTTTAAAGATATTGCTCCCTTTATATGATTCTCTTTTTCAACCACCGCTTGACCAAGTCAAAACGTAATGAATAATATTTCCAGAAGATCCAATCTGTGACATGCACCTACCCCAGTATCTGCCTGCAGTCTTTATCTGCACGTTTCTGATCCTAACACTAACCTTAATCCTTCCTATGCTGTTGAAAGTGAGCCAGAAAACTTCCAGGAGTAATGTTCAGAGTTTGCTCTTACCTGTCTCAGTGGTTCAGTCGGATGCTGGTAGAAGTCTCTCTGGTCAGTTTGTGTATCTCCTCTCCTTCCTGGGTATCTTATATACTCCACCCAACAAATCCCTCCTGACATGCTCATCCATAACTTTCTGTCCCTTTTTGACACCAGCTGTCTAATAAGCCGCTCTGCTAGATTAGGAGGGGGCTCAGGACTATGTCATGACATGTGAAGTCGTTTACATAATGATGCTGACAAGAAGTATGACGCCTGAAGAACTGAAAACATCTTTGAACCATGTGAACTCACTTTAGATGTGATCCTGAATACAAAGTTCTAAATGTGCATTCAAAATGTATATTATGATGTTTAGATGAGTCAAGGGAAGCTTATTTATAGAGAATATTTCAGCAACCGGGCAACTCAAAGTGCATCACACAAGACATCAAACGCATCATGACAAAGATGGAGACGTTACAATTTAAAAATCACTAAAACAATCACAAAAGAAAATACATTTTTTTAAAACACAAGATCCAAAAGAAATACAGAAACATGACATTAAGCCATAGGAAGACATTCAAATACAATTTATACAATGACATAGGTGACATTAAATTACTCTACAACCAATGGATGAGTTCACAGTTGAGCTGTGAAACATAAACACATGTTTGTGCTGGTTTGTTCTGGACCGTTAACGTCAAGTACAAGTCCAGGTCCAGTTCTCTTTATTGTCATTTCAAACATTTACAAAGTTCACGGTGAGACATGTTGCTCCTGTAGAAGTGTGATGCTTCACAAGACGATTGAGAATTCAAAGTTAAGAGGTGTGAATATGAGATGAAATGTAAAGACAAGAAGGTGGCTATCAAGAGTTTAAATTAGTAAACAAGCAAGTGGTGAACAAAACAGTTAACAACAATTTAACTTTGACTGAAGCAGGTAAAGTGACATTTAAAGTGACAATGACGGGGGTCTTTTTGTGAATGCAGACCATCATCAGCTGATCTACATATATACTTATGAAGTGCAGCTAGTTTATACAGTATATATAAAAAAGCTCTACCTCATATAAATTAAACCACCTGTCACATAATTACACTTTTTTATTATCATGTTTACATCAACATCTTTTGCACTACTCACCACTGCACCATCTGATTTATCATATCTTGTTTGTCTTTGAGTTTTTTAAAAGCGCTTATAAATAAAATTTATCATAATAATTGTTTAGTCTTGTACATATTAGTCTTTGCTCATTTGAGTTTATTGTTGATATTTAATGTTGTACTTTGTACATAGAGAGCACACTTCATCACAGTTAAATTCCTTGTGTGTTTAAGCATACCTGACCAATAGATAGATAGATAGATAGATAGATAGATAGATAAATAGATAGATAAATAGATAGATAGATAGATAGATAGATACTTTAATGACTTTATTGAGGGAAATTCAAAGCATCCAGTAGCAGGTTACAAATACGTACATGACATGAAACATTTGTTACAAAATAAACCACAAAACCAACGCCCCCCTCCCATACATATATATTAACCCGAAAAAAAGATTTAAAGAATACCCCTAGATGAATCAAATTTAAACTGTGCAATTAAAAAATAGACTGCAGGGATAAAAAATATATGTGAGAACCTTTAAACAGTTGAGGAAAAAAATCTGTAATTAGACCTGAATATAAAAGAAAGAAAAAAGAGTTGACCTTCTGAAGTTGTGTTGTTTATATATGTACAGCAATGTTTAAAAAGCACATAGTGCAAAGTTATCAAAAAAAAACAGACATTAAATAACAGGCAGTGCAAACATTAAATTAAAGGTGTGATTTAAGTAATTAAGGTTAAAGCTGATTCTGATTCTGATTCTATACATTTGTTATTAATTATTAAAAACAATATGACAGAATTAAATATGACTGCTTGAGGTTCTCTTGCTTCCATCCACAAATCATGTTTCTTAATCTGCTGATAAAATAAAAGATAAGCTTCTAAAAAAAGATGGAAAAGTATCTTTGATCACATTTTCTTGATGTGATAACACAAGCAGACAAGATCAGTGTGAGAGTGTGCAAGAGCGTCATTTCCTGATGCTCTTGTTAAAAAAACCCTCTCCAAACACGTCTCATTCACCGCACAAGTCCAGGTTTAAAATATTTTTCAAGACACTGAAAAGTAAAACTAAGGCTTGTATTGCATGCAACAACATGTTTTAATAGCAGCCAATGCATCAAGCTGAACATGATCGATACATTTCTTGTAATAAGATGCTGATTGAATTTCAAAAAGCTTAATGAGCACATTTTATTTTCTGCATTTACAGATATTTTAACTCATTGAATCTAATACAAGCTTCCTTTCTTTTGCTCTTAATATCTTGAAATACATCGTTTCTCTGGATGTGTACGGTGAATCTAGGTATGTTAAGTGTAATGAGATATTTGTGATGAGACAGATACACTCGGTAAGATTTGAGTTTTGGCACAATGTATGTCACAGTTATCATCCATATTGTTGCAGCTGGCGGTGTCTCGTGTTATTCCTCTGCAGCCTCGTCATGAGGCTGCAGCTTAAAGGCTGAAAAGTTAAGTGTTCTTTCTTTACCTCTAAGCGAGTCATCACCTGCAATGCAGCTCAGGCCGTCGCTGCTCTTACATCACATATGTATATTCTCGTGCAGGCTAAGTTAGGACACATGTTTGTGTACAGACAAGCTGCCACCTCGGCCAGAGCTTTATTCTATCACTGTTATAGATAGAAGATGTGTGTTTCCTGGTTTCTTTACTGACCTAAAGAGAGAACAGTGATCTGCTTTAATGGTTACTGCACCTGGAGGAAATACTAAAACTAAAGGGGATGTCCAATTATGTTTATTTGCAGGACTTTAATCTACAATCTCTGGAAAAATGACCAAATATACAGACTAAGCAACACTTTAATAAGGAAAGGATGAATGATTCCAAGTCCCCATTAAGGGTTTCTCAAACACATCACACCTTTAATGCAAAACTTTTAGAGATGTCCACTCATCCTTTTCAAGCAAAAGTCATTCTTCCAGATAATACATCATGGGGCAGGGTGGTAAACACAAGTAAGGATTCTGTTTCTATTTAAATCTACAGACAAAACGAGTTGTTCGCTCACAATAAAATACAGTAAAGTTGTTTTCAGTGTGTCACAGATTTTTGATTTATTTTTCATGGTATGTTCCTGCAACTGTGTGCACCTGAGAACATATAGGCGGCACGAGGCACCCTGTTGGCCATTCAGATTATACTTTTCTGTTTTTGTACATAGATGAGAAGTGTGTCAGTATGAAACTTGGATTCAAAAGTCAGAGATCGAGATTTTTAACGAAGACCCTGAGATGATTAGGATTGAACAAAATGACCATGTAGCAGCCACAATGGGCTAATTAAGATCTATGATAATTAAAGAGCAATAGTAAGTAGCAATATCAGTATATTTAGAATAGACAGCTGCAGACATGATGATCTTTAAACAGATAAACTCTACCAGTCAAAAGTTTGGACACACCTGATTGAAATGCACGTAATTATCTTAAAGACATTTTGATCTAAAGGCGTATGCTTAAACGTTGGACATGTGTTTCTTATATACATAGAAATAGTGAAGTTGATGCCTGTGTTTGTATGCATTTCTTCCCAAAACAAAAGGGACATGTTTTTATTGTTTTAATATCTACTATTATTCTAACAAATAGGCTATTATAATAATGTAGTTTACTGTATTATTAATCATACTGTTACTGTTGTGTGTCCAAACTCTTGACTGGTGTATTTGTGAGACAGCAGAGAGTTGTGAGTATGGATATCTAAAGCATGTCTGCAGGTTAGAGAGTTCACCTTACAATAGTGTAAAATAAAACTGTGAACTTAAAGCTTTTTAATAAACCTGCATGCATGGCTTCTGCTTTACATGTGTACCTGTTCATAAACTAAAAAAATGAATAGATGACAACATTTTGCAGTAGTAGGGTGCTACTTAGGAAAAACAAAGTTAAAGGAAGGAAGGTAGGGTAAGGTGTGTGTGTGTGTGTATTCAAGCTATATTGCATGTATGTTATTTGTGCACATTTAGCATTTTTCATTGTATTGCTTTCTGCATCAGACGGCTCCTGTCTGTCATTCTTTGTAGAGACTTGATTCTTTTTAGTTTTTGAGCACATTGCTTTACACCCAAAGTCACTTTTCATTTCATTATTTGTGTGAAAAACTCAAGAGGTCAGTTAAATGTGTTAAAAGTTTCCCTAAGATAGAAAGAGGAGTTCAAGATGTTAATTTGATGCTAATAATACGGTCTCTAACTCCTTCCAATTAAAGACACTTTCTCTCCGCAGGTTACAGACACTTCTAAATATACCTCTTGTTTATACCTGCTGTCTTTTTTCTCGTCTATTCTCGGCTGAGCTGGTACTGAACGGGCAGAGCCGAGTTGGCACCAGAAGGAGAGATGAGTGAACGCCTGAGGGGATTAAGAGCTCGCAGGCCTTTAAAAGGGGGACAGTCGGCCACAGAGAGAAAGAAATCCTACAGCAGAGGAGTAAGAGAGACTCATCAGACGGCATCAGGAAACGCTCAGCGAAAGGTAAGAGGAAAACCTTTTCTTCTCAGCCGAGGTACAGGAGGGTTTGCTGCTCTGATAACATGTAACAACTTAGCTTGAAGAGATGGACACACAGAGTCATGGCTTTTAAGCATTCCTCTTCATAGTTTGATTTGAATGACACCTGAGACTCCTTCTGAGTGGACTCTGCATCGAGTAGAGACGGCTGTCCTCTTCATCATGTCTTCAGGGTTTCTTTTACCTGGATTTGGATGAAATTAGTTGATTTTTGAGCACTGGTTGCACTTTTATTTTAATCAATGCTTGATGCAGTTACCCCTCTGTTATATACCAGGATGTTGAAAAAGGTATCGTAGAGATTGGTGTGTTTCCTCACACAAAGAAGTGATGTCATTTAAAAAAAAAAGGACTATAAGAGATTTGAAGATAAGAAAATTAGCTAATTTGAATACAAATCATTTCAGCTGTGCTGCGATTAAGACATGAATTAATACTAAAAAGCAATGA